GTCCGAGGGAGAAGCAGACTCCCTGCCGAGCAGGGAGCCCGATGCGGGACTCGATCCAGGGACTCCAGGATCATGACCTGAGCCGAAGGCAGTCGCTTTAACCAACTGAGCCACCCAGGCGCCCCTGACTGCACTCTTGATTCAGAACCTCCAGGGAGCAGTAAACCATGATCGGAGAAGAAACAACATTAATCATTGTGTTCTCAAAGCTTGTTTATTAGCTATTCTCACTCATGGTGAAGAGAAATAAAAAAGTGAATGAAATGGAAATCAAAGGAGATGAAAATCCAACCACAGTTCTTCCCCGAGGACCTCCGCTGAACTAGACAAAATGCACCATCAGGGGCTTCGTGTCTGCATCTTACAAGGGGACTCATTCAGAGAAGAACCTAATTTCTTCGAAGGAACAGGGTCTAATATGATGCAATAAGAAAAATCACAGGATGAGGTTTTAAACAGAGACTGAATGCCTATCAGTCTACGAGGGACCCCCCCTTCGGAGCCACCCGGTTATGCGCAGAAACTGAGGGGCTCCTCTTTGGAATGCATCTTCCCCATCCAGATGACTCTATCACCTGTCCCTGGGGGTGGCCGAGCTCTGTTCTTTGATGGCGGATCTGACTTCCGAGCACCGTCTGGTCACCTGAAGCCGGCTGGGATGAAGGAGGGATAATGAGGTTCTGGGATGCAGCTGGGAGCGAGAAGCTGGGGAAGCTACAGTAATGAGGCCGGGTTTCTCAGGTGGGCCGCGGCTGGCCCTGCAGACCCTCCCCGAGCCGGTGGTGACCTTCACACCCTGACTGGGCAATGTGGGCACGGTGGGAACAAGCACACAGCCTCCTAGGGTGTGCGTGTGGAAGGTGGGCGTTCACTGGATGCTTCAACTTGGGGCCGGCTGTGAAGACCCCAGCTCACTCGTTCAGCGCTCCCTAGGAGCCCTAGCAGTACTGTTTGTTCTTTCTGGCAAAAGGGAAGCTTGCCAATTTAAAATAAATTTATATTTGGTCTAAGAAATGCCAGTGCTTAAAAGGATTTCCATTGTTTTGGGGGCTGAGGGCACGAAGGGCCATTGTCTTTCCTTTCTCCTCTTTACGCGCCTGTTTCCGAGCCCCCTGGAAGATGTCTATGTGTTGGCCCTCCACGATGCCCGGCCCCCCGGAGAGAAAGGGCCCCGAGCACCAGCAACGCATAGGCCAGTCCTCACTGGGTGGGACAGCGGCAGCACCTCGTCCAGAAGCACATCCCCACAGAGGTTCGGACGCCAGCCTGGGGCCGGTAGCAGGGGTGCCCCTTGGGCTCCCCCGGAGACCCGAGGGCACGGCAGACGGGGATGCACCTAGGCGTCCGGGATGGGGGTGTTGCAGTTCCCATGGTAGATCTTGACGTGGCCCTCACACCGGAAGTAAGCCTCAAAGACATCACTGTAGCCGTGGTCCCTCCACCAGGTGCAAAGCTGCCGGTTCCAGGTGCAGTCCAGCACGTGGAAGAGCTCGGGGTGCTCCATGCCGATCATGGTGAAGAAGTCCTGGTCCCCGAGGTGGCCGCGGAAGCGGTACTTGTCGGCCAGCTGCTGCACCTGCGCCGGCTCCAGCAGGCGGCCGTAGAGGGCGGACTGGCGCATGGCCTCCAGGTTCAGCAGCATCACGCCGCTGTTGAAGCCAGGCAGCCCCTCGGGGGGAGGGCCCCCAACCCGCGTCTTGGGGTTCTCGTGGCGGAACTGCCAGAATGTGTGCCTGGGAAGGGGAAAGAGAGCAGATTTCACCGGGTTTGTGCGGGTAAAACAGTCTGCCGGCCCTATTTTCCTGGGCCTTCACAACCAGCCTGGAGAGAGATGCCATTTTCACTCCAGTTTTACTGCTCTGAGGACTGGGAGGGTCTCAGGTTCGGGATCGGCATCACACCACCAGAAAGTGGCACAACTGCACTCAGACCCAGGCCTCCTGACTCCAAGCCTCACGGTCTTCCCATATCCTCTGCTCCTTCAGGAATGCAACACTGCTAACGTTTGTATAGGACTCAGCAAGCAGCAGGCACTGCACAAAATCAGCTTATTTCCTCCCCCACCATAGCCTATGAGACAGGTGCTCTCTGGGATGGTCTGTCACTTCCCAGCGGAGGAAGATGATGCACAGAGAGGTTCTGTAGCTTGCCTGAAGTCACACAGCTAATGAGTATGCAGTTGCAGAACCAGGGACTAAACCCAGGCATCTGGCTCCAGAGTCTACTTTTTAAGATGGCAACAATCCTGGTAGAACTTTCTATCCCCTTGTCTTTGTGATCTTTTTTTAAAAAAAGATTTTATTTATTTATTTGGCAGAGAGAGAGAGAGAGAGAGCAAGCAGGCAGAGGGAGAGAGAGAAGCAGACTCCCCGCTGAGCAGGGAGCCCAACATGGGGCTCAATCCCAGGACCCTGGGATCATGACCTGAGCCGAAGACAGATGCTTAACCGACTGAGCCACCCAGGCGCTCCTGTCTTTGTGATCTTGAAAAGGAGAGGAGAGAGGTGGGGGAAGCGCTTCTGAGCAGTGATCTGGTAAAGCAGTAGAAAGCTATATGCAGGCTAAAATAAACTGGGTTTCCGCTTTAGAACAAGCTTCATTTATTAAGGCCCAAGCCCTGCACTTCTGAAAGGCTGGACAGGGGTTTGAGGCCTGAAACACACGCGTGGGTTGGGGTGAAAAGCAGCTGGGGAACAGCCAGGTAGAATTATGGCTATTTTAGAGGGAATGTCTCCTCAGTCTTCTCTCAAGGCAGATGTAGAAATCTGATCTAGGTCTACAGTTCATGGGGTGTAAGCGCCAGAGGGACCCTTCCAGGTCTTCTATCCAAATGCTTCCATTTGGAGAAGGGGAGACAGATCGAGAAACCTCCTTGTGGGTGACATGGTCAGAGCGCCAGCCACTCTGTTCTCCAACCTCCTTAAGCTCCTGTGCAAGTTCCCGTGCACGCTGCTGGGGTGGCGCACAGCAGGACGCAGAGGGGGGCCTGGGCTCCATGTCCCCAGAGGAGCCTGCGGCCTGCAGGACGGCAGGGAGATGGCAGGCCCTTTGTTGAGGGCAAGGGGCAGGAGCGTAGTCCACATCACACCACATCCCACCTATCTTTACCAGCTCTGCCCCTTCCTTCGACAGTCCTCGGGATGGGGGATGCATCGGGGCAAGCCAAGTCTGCCCCCAGCCTGGAAGTGCCACCCCCTGAGCCTCCCAGAGGTCGCTTCCCCAACCAGTTACAGGGCAGGATCTGTGTGGTGAAGCGGCCGGTGCAGGGGAAAGAAGAGCAGACCCCACGGCGGCCATAGAGATCCATTTCCCAGTTCCCACACACTGCTCTGTGTCTGGGAATCAGAGAGACCTTCCTTGAGGTCTCGTGTATCATCACAAAGGGCACCGAGAGTCTGATCCTGGTGAGGGGAAAAGCATTCCCTCTGGACATTCTGACAAGTGGAATAACAGGTCTGTTGTTTGAATTTTGCCGTAATTGGACTGTGAGTGGAACAAGCTTTGGCGCCTGCTTGGTGGTAACAACCTTTGGCAAAAATAAGCTTCCAGAGCACACGGAGATGCTGGAGCCCTTGTAGCCACAAAAGCCTGCAGTGATGGGATCACAGGGGCACTGGAATGTGCTCTGGCAACTTGGTCCATTTTACCGTATTTCTTCCAAATGGTTACCTTCGGGTCCAGGCTGCAAGCCACTAACATTCTACCAAATGAATCTGGGCCACCACAGCATGGGAGAGGAGGGGTCCTCCAACCAGGAGGACAGGAGTTTTACTGCCAAGCCATGGATTCAGGCTTCGGGGAGAGAGGAGGAGCATTCACCAGGGAGGGGAGGAGCGGGAGAGGAGACGTCTGGAGTAGACAGGCAGGGCCGGGCCTGTGGAGGCCCTGGACACCGCGAGGCCATCATCCTCCTTCCGTTCTTCCCCCAGGTCTCGTCTCTCCCCTTCCCAGAGGACCAGGGGAGGGCGAACAGGGTGCAGGCTGGTGGTCAAGTCCGCCCTCCCCGATCTGTGAGGCCTCTCCAGAACCTCAGCACCTCGCATGGCGCCCACACGGCGGGGCCTTCAGGACGTGAAATTACTTGACAAGGAATGATGGAAAGGTCGGTGTGGCTCAGGCTACGTAGCCTTCGGTGTCGTCTGGAACCGGGGGGTGGGGGGCAGGAAAACATCAGGACACAAAGCTGCAGCTGCAGATGGAAAGCGAGCCGCTGCACTGAGCACTCGAGCCCCCAGGGCCACATTTCTCCCGCGTGGTGAGGGGCAGGGGACCACGAGAGGGTGCTCAGGGCTTTTCAAAGGGCTCAGTATGGTCTCTACTCTTGAGCAAGCTAGGGAGTGGAGAGGTCATCCGCAGCCCTGCGGTACTCCACGGAGCTTCCCTGTCTCTACCAGACTGACCTGCTACCGAACTTGCTGGGCTCAGGACAGCAGGGCCAGAGGCAGAGACAGAAAAACGAGCACCCTTCCAGGTAGAGCCCATAACCCAGGTGGCTCTTTGGGAAGCTCATTCCTAGCCCTGCTGTTGCTATCGGCACAAAGAGGCATTTTATAACAAAGCCAGAGAGAACCAGGTCTGGGACATCAGCACATTCTGATTTGTAAGGAGAAGCAAAGGAGGGACAGGAAATTGGAAACGCAAGCCGCCCAGGACGTCTGCTGAAGCAGAAAAACAGCCTGAAAGTGAACCAGTGATTCCCTAAGTACAAAATTATTTCCAGGGTGCCCTTGTTTAAAGCATGCCTACTGCTTCAAAATGAACCCAGACAGACAGAGCAGCCACTTGGAGGAGAGGTGGGTTTTCCTGGCCTCCATGTCAGCTGGTTTGTGTGGAGGAACCACACCGGCCTTGGGATGGAGAGAAGGACACAGAGACGTTGAGGGACTGGAGCTCACGAGCGCGGGCCCTGATCCCACGTGAACGGGCCGAACGGGGTGGTCCGGCCGGGTCCTCAGCTGCCACAGCACGGCAAGCATGGCAGAGCCCTCTTCCGTTCCCCACTTCTGCTCCTGGGCAGTGCGGGGACGTCACGGTCCGCATTCTCACAGGGACGGAATAGAGGTCCCCGGTGCATCAGGGGCAGGCCCGACTTGAACGCGAGGGCTCTGGTCGCTAAAGTCCCTTTCGTCTTAGCCTCAGATTCCATTAGCTAAGGTTCCCGGGAGCAGCACTTGGATTTCAATCTAATTTCTGAAGTTGGCTGACACTGCCAAGGGCACAGCCTCTGGGGACCTGGCTGGCAGGTGAGGCAGAAGCTGCTGGTGCCTCGCTGGGAGGGGGTCAGACCCAAGAGCCTCTCTGAGGAGGGTCAGAGAGGGCCCCAGACACTCGCCTTCCTCACAGGGCCTGGGGCTGATGATATATATTCACAGGGCACCGCCAGAGGTATGTGCTGAGGCTGCAGGAGCCTCTGTATGAATGCAGGTATCTGGTTCTGAGTCCTGGAGCTTCCAGAAGTTTCTCAGATTAAGCTCCAAGCCGACAGTCCACCAAGTTGCCCTGACTCATCCTGGCCTTGGGCCTCTGCAGAGGCTTGTCTCCATCCTCCACTGTCACCTGGAGACACACATTAGAGGGGACAGGATTTCTTCTTCTTCAGAAATAACTTCAAATGCGAAACAAGCCCTCATGGAGGCAGTCCACTGTAAATACTGAGTCTTTCCAGAAATCAATGAGGCTTGTTGGGAAAACACAAATTAAGAACCTTCAAGTACATTCTTCCAGGTATGGGCAATGAATTTCCTAAATTTATTCTATTGAGTATGCCCTAACTAATACTCATTAAAAAAGACTATTAAAAATGAGTACACTAGTTTTCATGAAGAAAACCCATCTTTACAGAAAGAGGTATTTGAAATCATTTTGAAAAGCTAAGTCATTTCCTCCCTTCAAGTCTTTCCCTGATGATCATTGCCAAGGTCACTCCAACAAGTCTCTCAACTAGAGAGCCTGGCCAGAGGACCTGGGAAAGAACGCATGTTGTCATGAATAACCCTTTCTCCTCCCACCCACCCCAATCACAGACCCTCCTGCCCCCCTATCTTTCCATGATTTTCTCCTGGGCTGGCCTTTCTTGGACCCTAAGGCTCAGAATTTTCCACTTTCACTTCCGAGAGGGTTGAGAAGAAAGATGGGAACACAACAATGAGCCTGGGCAATCCGCATCAGGCTCACTAAGAAGGTTCTAGAAGCCCGTGCTGACTGACGCTGAGTTCAAGCTGCTGGTTTTCAGGCAGAGAGGGCTCCATTTTCTGAGGTTCCGAAGGACAGCGTCATGTGTGGCACTTCTCCCTGTGGCTTACCCCTCGAGTGTGCATCAGAGTCAAGTGCAAAGTCACCAATGAGCAAGCAAAGCTGGGCCTCTTCCCAGAGGAAGCACGCCGTCTGGATGCTGTCTAATCAGTGAAGGCTGGAATCAGGAAACACTACTCCCTTTATGCCCATGCTTGTCGCCCAGGACCAATTAGCTCTTGTTTGACTTGGAAGGGACCCTGTCTTCCAGTCCTTTGAGAGGAAAGGCCAGGAGTGAAGAGCAGTGCTCAGTAGCCCAGTGTTCCATCCACCCCAGGGCCTGCGAAGTGACCAGGGGACAGTTCTGGGTGATGTGGGGCTGATTTCGGAGCAAGGACAGTGTCTCTCGTTCCTGCCTTGAGCTGAAGTTCTGGGAGACGGGCACAGACTCTCCAGTTCTTTAGGGGAACCACGGCCCTGTGGTATCAACCTGGAGATGACATAGACTGCTGACACTGTGAGGCTTTAAACGGCCATTTCCGGGGCACCTGGGTGGCTCAGTCGTTAAGCGTCTGCCTTGGGGCTCCCTGTTGGGCGGGAAGCCGGCTTCTCCCTCTCCCACTCCCCCTGCTTATGTTCCCTCTCTTGCTCTATCTCTCTCTGTCAAATAAATAAATAAAATATTTAAAAAATAATAATAAACGGCCATTTCCCTAGGGCGTTCCTCGCTGTCAGGAGTCACAGTTGCCCCTCAGCAGGATCTCTTGCTAGCAAGTCAGGTCCCTAGTTCTGCTGGACAGAAACGTTCCCGAAGCCAGTGGTGGCAGGACCAGGATGAGAGGGGTCCCTCCTGGAACCACAGGCTACCAGAACCTAAAGACTCAGGAAGATTCTTAGTTCACCTGCCTATTTTACAAATGAGGACACTGAGGCTCGGAAATTGTTCTGCCTGGAGTCACACCACTGAAAAGGCAACCCCCAATCCCAGGCCGATGATTTTGCTTTCCCACAAATGCCTCTGCTCAGAGAAGGCGACTGTTCTCTCCCACCACTCAACAAGCCCTGTGCCAGGTGAGACCGTGCCACTTAGTGCCAAGCTTTCGGGAGGCAGAGTTCATGCTTTCCCATCTGGCAGGGACTAGCTCCTCCAGGCTTAACACGCCTGCACCTGGAAGGGGAGCTGGGCCCCCAAGTGGCTGACGGGGCTTTTGCTGGGGGCAGCGGGTGGAAGGCGTGTGCTTGCCCTTGTTTGCAGGACCTCAAAAGAAATGTGCTTGCTTTCAAACACCAGCCCTGTTTGCAGGCCAGCAACTGAGTTTCCAACCACAATATGCCCAGAACTGAGAGAGGACAACAGGTCAGGGTTGAGGCAGGGGGCACGTGGGCAGAGCTGGGGGTGTTGGAACCAGGTGGCCTGGCAGGAGAGCAGAGGACTTCTGGGGGTACTGAGACCCAAAAGAGACTCCCCAGAGATGAGGGGGCAGGGGAGGCACACTGCAGGGATTTCCTCAAGGCCCTCCTCCAGAAGGAACCAGAAGCACCAGAGTCGCCCGTTCACCCCTCCCCGCACCAAAAGCTGCCAAGCTTCCTACTTTGCAAACTGGTATCTCTGTACTGCCTGCCCCAGTCTGAGAGAATGAGGGCTCATGGAAGTAAGATGAGCTGAGGAAGGTCTGGGGGTGAAGAGGAGGGAGAAAGGGGTTAACATCTGCTGAGTCTGTGTTTTCTGAATGCTGTGTTGGAGCCTTTAGCTGGAGGAGGGGCGGGGGGGTCACAACAGGGCACTGGGGTAGCTATTAATTATAAATTTTCTAGAGAGCTGACCTGGACACTGGGCTCTTCATTCTTTTTTAAAGATTTTATTTATTTATTTGACAGAGAGAGACACAGCGAGAGAGGGAACACAAGCAGGGGGAGTGGGAGAGGGAGAAGCAGGCTTCCTGCAGAGCAGGGAGCCCGATGCGGGGCTCCATCCCAGGACCCTGGGATCATGACCTGAACCGAAGGCAGACGCTTAACGACTGAGCCACCCAGGCGCCCCTGGGCTCTTCATTCTTATCTACTAGACCACTGAGCTCTCTACATCTGTCTGCTGGGGCATCACAGACTACGTGGGGGTCTTGAGCAACATAAATTTTTCTTCCTCTGCTCTGAAGTCTGCAAGTCTGAGATCAAGGTGTCGGTGGCAGGGTTGGTTCCTTCTGAGGGCTAAGGAAGAACCTGTTCTGTGTCTCTCTCCAACCTCTGGGGGTTGGTTGGCAACCTTTGGCTTCCTTTTAGAAGCATCACCCCAATACCTGCCTTCATCTTCACATAGCATTCTCCCTGTTTGTGTGTCTGTGTCCAAATCTCCACCCCGTTTTTTAAAACATTTTATTTATTTATTTATTTATTTGAGAGAGAGAGAGCATGGGAGAAGCAGGCTCCCTGGTGAGCAGGGAGCCCGATGCAGGGCTCGATCCCAGGACCCTGGGATCATGACCTGAGTCGAAGGCAGACACTTAACCAACTGAGCCATGCAGGCACCCTCAAATCTCCCCTTTTTAAGATACTAGTCATACTGGGCTAGGGGGCCTACCTACTCCAGTGTGACCTCATCTTAACTCATTACATCCGTGACAAACCTATTTCCAAATAAGGTCACAGTCTGAGGGCCTGGGAATTAGGACTTCAGCATCTGAACGGGGGGATGGGGCACACAATTGGCCCATAACACTCTAATGATGAAGACAAAGGGAAATAGCACACAGCTTATCTTCACCTGTGTTCTCACTGTCCAGACTACGAGGGCACCTGTGGAGTCTAGAGCTGC